ACCCCCCGGAGGGGGGCGATAGAAGAGGACTGGGGTTGAGCGGGCCGGAAGGAACAGCAGAAGAACCAGGCCACGCCTAGATTCTGGCCTCCCGCCATCGAAGACCGAAGACAGTATGCGCAACTCTGTCGTCCGTTCTTCCACCTGCAGTGAACTGATGGTCGCCCTCTGGTGGACTGGTGGTGGCCAAAAACCCGCCTGCTTTCATGCACTTCCCCAACCAAACTTTCGCCGTGTTCGAAACGTGAAGCACGCGTTGTGTGTATCTACGTGGCAGCCTGACACACATGGCACGTAAATGAGCCGTTTAGCGGTGTCCTGAGCTCTTCCCGCTGAATTCAGACACAAGACCTAACTCACCTGGTGTCGTATGCCGTCATCAGCTCCCCCCGCGGGAAGATCCCGATCGGCGGCGGCGGCGGCCGCGCATCCGGCTTCCCCTGCCCGGGGGGCAACGTCAACCCTTGCTTTCGCTGATGCTGCTGCTGCTGATGTTGCATCAGCATGGCCGGGTGAAGCACCTGGGGCTGCGGCCCCCGCGCCGGGAACTGAGGCGGTGGCGGTGGGTTGTGCATAACGCCTCCACCGCCGCCCCCGCTGCCCTCCCGCTGCGGTGGCGGCGGCTGCTGCTGTCTAGCAGAAGGAGGCCCCATCATCATCGGCGACATCACACCGGCACCACCGCCGCCAACGCCGGGCAGAACCATCGGGCTGCCTTGGCCTTGGCCTTGCTGCTGCTGCTGCTGCGGCGGCGGCACCATTGGCGGGAAGCCCGAAACGGGACCGGCTGCCCCGAACGGTGGAGCGGCGGCGGGGGGAAGCGGCGGCACCGGCCCCCGCCTCCCGCCGTGCTGCTGTGCGTGCGCGTGCGCCATCGCCTGTTGCTGGAGAAGGTGCGCCTGCACATGCGGGGGCAGGGCGTGGAATGGCGGCATCCCAGGGACGGGGCGGGGAGGGAACCCTCCTATCCCCTGCTGCTGCTGACGGGGCGGCGGCAACATATGAGGGGGGAACGGCTGCTGAGGCCCAACGAGAGGACTGAACGGAGGCGGCATGCCGGGGCCTCCCGGTTGCTGCTGCTGAAGCTGCTGCTGCTGCTGAAGCTGCTGCTGCTGCTGAAGCTGCTGCTGCTGCTGCTGAGTCAGCTGCGGTGGTGGCGGTGGTGGCGGCGGTGGCGGCGGCGGTGTGGGCGCCCCTACCTCAGGTGTCTGCAAATGCTGTTGTTGCTGCTGCTGCTGCGCTTGTCCCGGGTGGTGTTGTATTTGCTGCGGCCATGCCGCCCCCGGCGCAACCCCGCCCCCCCCCCGCTGACCCACCTCTGCCCTTGTTTCCTCTCTCACGGCGTGGCTCTCATTAGCGGCGCATGGCACCACCGCAAGTGGGCTCCCCCCTCGAGCTGCAGCAGGGACACCGGCGGCGGAGCCGTTCGCGTTGCTGCTGCTGCCGCCGCCGTTCTCAAGCGAAGCACAGGAGGCCATTCTCTCCGAGCGGGGTGGAGAACTGGCCGCCGGGGTAATGCTGATAACGGCGAACTCCGCCTCGAGCTCCTCTAAGGTCTTCGCCCCCGGCGGGAGCATGCTCATCCCCGTCCGCATCGGCGACGCCGGGGTCGCGGCGGCCGCTGGTGCGGCGGGCGGAGGAGGCAGCGGGGTCGCCGGGGGGGACTGCTGCTGCTGTCCCTGCTGTGGCACCGGCTGCTGCACCTCCTCCTGCTGCCGCGGGGTGTTGGGAGACCCTGCCGCCGCCGAGAGCGACGCCACCTCTGATGGAAACCCGGGCTCGACGTCGTCCAGCGAGAGTTGCCTCATGGTGGCAAAGGCCGCCTTTGTGCGTGCGCGGAAGGGCAACAAAGCCGAGCGCAAGAGAACAAGACAAACCTGGGGCGTAAAAAAAGGCTTCTATCCATCATACCAGTGGGCGCGCAGGATCCCTAGATCTGTCGTCAGAGCCCGGAACACGCTCGGCATCTGAATTCGGTAAGGATACACAAACAACGCTCATCGTCGCTCCACCAGGGGCTGGCCGTTACGAAAAAGGCGGATTTCTGCCTCATCTGGGATTTCCTCTGTCAAGACGAAGAAGCGCAGTGGATAAATAAACAAAGGAGCCGCCGCGCTTCCCGCTTGGAAAGGACTGGGACGCACCGGGCGCTTGACATCATCACATCATCATTGGTTCCAGAGGCACTCAAATCTAGCTGACTGAAATATCGTGGGTCGGTGAAACTTGACTGGAAAGAGCGTGACCGGGCCAAGAAGAAATCTGAGCTTGTCCTGATAATACAGAGGCGACAAGCGAACCCTCGACCTGACTGATACACACCTATCGCAGCAGGCACACACCTGTTCTCCGTCGTCGTTTGCCGTGTCCAAAGTCTCGGGTTGGTCGTCTTCTTCGATGTGGTGATAGCTGCGGTTTTTCGACGCCGCGGAGAAGAGCAACAACAAAAAAAGAAGACACGGTTTGTGTAACCCCGGGCTAGTACGGTGTAGACCGGCGCGCATAATAAATGGAGACGAAATCAAGCACACACACACACACTGCACACTGAGACGTGTTTTCATTGGCCAACTAGTTAGCGCGGCCGGTGCCAAAAAAAAAAATACACATCATGGCCCTGGAGGCGTTCTTCGTTATAAGTCGAACTGAGACTGACGTCTATTCATTGGTCAGCCGGTTAGCGCGGTCGATTCCAACAACAAAGACACACATCCTGGCCTTAGAAGCGTTCGTGTTTACAGCAGTAGCCGCACTGAAGACTGACGTCTATTCATTGGTCAGCCGGTTAGCGCCGTCGATGCGAACAGTACAGACGCACATGAACACGCGTCCCCTCACCCACAAGGACACACGCGAAGGCCGAAGAATAACCTTCTTCAAAGACTTACTCTTGCAGGAAGCTCTTGTTCATGTCCTCGAACTGCTTCTGCATGAGCGCCCACTCCGACTGATCCGCGCCGCCGACAGACGCCGCCGCTGCCGCCGTCTCCGTCCCTTCCCCCCCTCCCCCCGCTCCGGCTGCCGGCAGCCCCAAGCTCGCCAACAAAGCATTCCCGGCATCACCGTTTCCCTGCCCGGGGCCGCCTTTTCCCCCAAGGTCGAAGTCCGCCAGCGGGTCGAAGAGATTGCTCGGCGAGTCCAACCCCCCTCTATTACCACCGCCGCCGCTGCCGCCGCCGCCGCCGGTTTGGAAGAAGTCGGGCAGGCCGTCGGTGTTGGTGATGTCTCCGGCGCTGTCGAAGAGGCCGCCCGCGGCGCTGTCGGCCCCCGCGTCCGCTAAGTCTTGCATGAGACTAATTAGTGTTGGTCGTCGCGTGAGAGCAGCGGTGGGTTGGCAGGGGATTGCGAGTGAATCTTTGCTTCAGACTACTGCGGTACAGCAGTGTCGGTAATCACACGAGAGCGTCGCGGGAGAGCAGGGGTGAACAACCACGTCTGGGATTTGGCCGCGACAAAAAAACACTACGCGTGGTGTTGCGCCTAGCACACCATCCTTGAGACGGACTCCTCAACTTGCAGTAACCTACCTCACCGCTGTGCTGTCGTTTTCGAATCTACATACAACAGTATCTACGATACCCTCCACAAAATACCACAGCAGACAGTCGCAACACGTTTCATGTGCAAATTGTCAAGTGGTACAGCGTACCCGCCTTCCAGGTATGACAGACGGCATGCTGTTTTAGCGTTTGAACGCTGTACACAAGACACACCTTGAAAACTCCTGGTCTCCAGAGGTGCCCTTGTCGTTGAAGAAATCCGGAAGATTGTCGTTCAGCCCCCCAGCAGCCATCATCATCGAAGCGTTGCTGTTGTCGCCCCTCTCCTGCTCGCCGCCGTCCCGTCTTCCCCCGAAGGTCTCGTCATCCGCATCTGGTTTGACGGCGTTGGGGAGCAAAAACAGACCATTATCGTCACCGCTCTGTCGGCATTGCTATTGCTGGACCTGTTAGAGCAACAGGGCAAAGGTGTGCGTTCTCTGTCGCTCTTTTTTGGGCAAAAAAGCAAGTGCAACCATGTGGCAAGCGTTGGTTGGTTGAGGCCCTTTCGTTGAGGAACTGTTCCTTAGCAACGGGTGCGCTGTGTGTCGTGGACCACACCGACGGGCCGCGAACCTGACCGTCCTTCCAACGCCACCACCGCCGGCAAAGAAGTGCAGTGTCGGGCTGCCGATGACCATTGCCTAATGACATGAACACAATAGTCCAGAGCGAGGCTGATAGCAAGAGAGAGAGAGAGAGAGAGAGAGAGAGCTCGGACAGGCAGAGAGGACCAACGACAGCAGATTCATCGGGACCGGACCGGAGGGGGCACGACGATGGACCAAAAACGAAAGAGCAGCACATTTTCCGACACCATCGAGGATGCGCCAATCTCTCACCCTTTCCCTCCATTCCAGTAGCGCCAGCTCCCTGTAGCACGGGCTATGCACTCTCTCCACGAGAGTCCTCGCCCGTTCGCTCGCTTTCTCCTACTGCCTGTTAAATGACAGCGGGCTGCCGCCACTTGCTGTGGTGCGCTGGCACTGTCCACTCTGTCCAAGTTTGCCGCCCCGCTAACCCCTAACCCGGGCCCCTTTGGCAATGAATTTACGTCTCCCCCTTCATTCCGCCGCTTCCGGCACTCCCCCGCACAACCACACACCACACACGACACACCCTCCCTTCTGCCTCGAGCTTTGATCCCTCTCTGCCTGTCTCTATCTCATCGGCCGTGCACTTTGCGTCAGCCGGGCCTGCGTCTCTCGCATGGGCCCCGATTGCGTTGCTTCGTTAGAGCTCGACGATGTCTTTCGGAGGACATGCGACACCGCCGTGCACCACCACAAGAAATGAGTCGCGGCGGTGAATGGTGTGGCCGACGCCGGCGCGTGTGTGGACCGGAGCGTTGCAAGTCGACTACTGGGGCGGGGTATGCCGTTCTTCCAAGCATCTTCGGCTGCACTCGACGGCGGTAGCAACGGGACGAACCAAACGACGGGATGCATCAGTCCTGCACGTCGGATGAGAGAAGAAAGAGGCCTCACCAGAGCCACGAGTGTTTGACGAGGCACCCACCGCTTCCTTCGCGTACAGCAGAGGGCGCATCGAGTACGACATCTCTTTCGTCCCGTCCATTCATACTCTTTCGTCCCGTCCATTCATAGGGGTGAGACTTGACGCAAAAGCGCTCGTGGACACTGCTGGGGTCTGAATGCAGCTCTCGAAAGAGCCCTAACTTTTGGTCTCCGCGTTGGTTGTTGTCGAGATGCCGATGTATTGGATGTTCAAGTCTGCTTTGGCTCACATGCCATGCCCCACTCACGCGCAAGCTGTTGCTTTCTACAAACAGCGATTTGGGTGTGGAAGTTCCTGCAGCTGTGCCCTCGCAACGCTTGTTGTCGATGATAGGTACAGTAGCCCCCAGTGCCTTTAAACCCGGCCCTCCCAAGCATCAGCTCGAGGTGGGGTTTCGGTTGCAGATGAGCTGGCTGCTGTCCTCGAACTTTTTGATAGCGAAAGAACGTCAACTGAGAAAGAACGGTCCGGGATGAATTCTTGCAAGTTTCACGACGGTCATATGACTGCAGGGGTGCAAAATGCCCCCCCGCTTGATTATTTTGCTCAAGAACTGAGACCTGTTCTGTCTGTTGTCACGTTCTACAACACCTGCTCGTGCGTGTGTGCGGCGAATATCGCGAGTGTTCTTTCTTGTTTTTTTTGTGTACTTCGTTGGCGATTGTGCTGGTTTCGTGTCCGGGATGCATGTGTAGTGGAGGGGAGGCATGGGTGGTTTCTGTTCTGCTACAAGACTAGATCCTTCGTAGTTCGGGCAAGACAACACCAACCACGACTGCGTCAGACTTGTACGACCGGTCTTTTCTACAGCAGCTGTTTTTTTTTTGGTGAATTCCAGATGCACATTTCTGATACCCTGTTGTTACCTTCTCCGTAGGATGGATGCCCTGACTCTGCCTCGAGAGGCCTAAAACTGTAGGACCTCTCTCGTATGACTTTTGCCCCGCGAGTTTTCACTCCACGGCCGTGACTTGGCTCTGACCAACTGTTGGTTTGCTGCTTTGTTCTTTGCCGATGGGGTCAAACCGCTCGCAGGATGCTGCAAGATTATTCACCACCTCTGCCCTGCCTTCGCCTGCGTGGCTCGCTTCGGGGATGTCGCCCCGAAGTCCGACTCCTAGACTTGGCACCAGCCACCATCTCGTGTGCCAAGGACTGCTGGGTTATGAGAGGAGGTGGTGTGGTGACAGCGCCCCCCCCCCTTCATCTTCTGGGTGTCGCACGAGATTGTCGCTGGACGCCACCTGCCTGTTTCCACGCTCCTTGGCCTGGGCGCGTCCACGACGGTGAGCTACCGTTGAACCGTGTAGTTGCTTGGTTTCAAACCCTTTCTTGTGAAATACAAAGGTCTCAAGCGTGCGTTTACGGTCTTAACTGGCTGCCTCTTGTTTCCCAAGTCTAAGTCCAAGTGAGGATAAACATTTCTGTCAATCCACCGAGTACACTCGATGAAGACAACATATTTTATCACTATAACTGTCCGATGGACTTATTGCTGTATGTTGATTCTCTCCGAATGGAAACACTTGAAGCAGACGAATGTGTAGGTAAGACAGGTCAGCTTTTGGTCGAACAAAGATGAACATGTTCTCTCCTTCTTGACTACACTCAGCACCGTTCTCGGAAGTTGCATTCGAGTCACTTTTTTCGAGCGATGTACCAGTTTTGTTATCGGGCCATCGATCCAAGTGATGATGAAAACCTATCTGTCAATCCACCGAGTTACGTCGATGAAGATACGCAGTTCAATCACTATATTATGTCTGATGGACGAAGCCCCCGTGAGTGTTCTCCCTACAGTCGTAGTCCACACGAGGACAAACAGTTTCTTTATTGCATGATAATCGGTTTAAGTTGCGTCCAAGACATGAATGTTGAGGCCACCTTCACGGGATTTGGGCGTGCTCACCATCACCGTGCTCAAGAGACGCCTCCCGCATGCTTGTCTCTGCTGTGGCTACCCTTGTCGGACAGCTCCCCCTGTAAATGACGTGTTAGGTCGTCAAACCACCACAATCATGTTCCACCTCCACGCTCCTGTCTTGGTTTTTTTCTGTCTTGCTTCCTCAATGGGACGCTCTGCACGGTAGCGAAGCAAGGGGTGATGCAATTTCTACTTGCCTCGAGTGTTGGCGTTGAGCCCTTTTTCTCACCTTCACCCTCGCGACGTTGGTTGTCCCATGTTCCGGCTCATATACAGGTGGCGGGGAGAGCGTATCAGTGGTGCGAACGAAAATCACTTGGAACCGCTCCTACGACTCTCCAATAGCGCTTGGATGCCCGCCTGGGGTGCTTGTACTGTACCTCTCGGGAGAGAGGTGTCGCTGAGCCCGAGTTGCGGAAGCACAACTACCCCCTCTTGCCCCAGTTCCTTGAAGCTCTTGCCGAAGTTTGTTTTGGATGTGCACATTCAGGAATTGATGTACCGGGGCCTCTTGAGGGACGGAATTTCGTTTCCCTAAGCCTGAAGATAGCGACCGATTGTCCCCCGACTAGGGTATGTGCTGTAGGACAGGGCACAGTTTTCCCTGCCATCAGAACATCTCAAATTTTTGGCCGTGCCTTCAGGGTTCGGGTAGGCGTGGTACATTGAATGGGACGCAAAGGGATTTGGCAACCAGGCGCTGGCGCCATATGTCTCGCGGTTTTTCGACCGGGCAGTTTTTTTTTCTCCGTGAGGACACTGCCGCAGTCGTATGGGTACACGGCGATTATGGGATCTATTGGTACGCTTGTAACGAAGGCATCTGGTGCGTTGGAAGCGAGCGTTTTCTTGTCGTGATTGAACCTCTGATTGTTGTAGCTTCCTTCGATGATTTCGAGTTTGTTGTCGACTAAGGAATGCTAAGGATGGGGTGTGTTCAACTTGTTGGCAGCGCGGATAATGCCCGTAACAAACGGCGCAAAAACGTTGCCATATTTGCCGGTTGGAACCCTAAGCAGTGTCAAGAGACAGCGTGGGCTGTTGGGACCACTTTTACCAGGGATAATTTTGAAGAGGGGATTGTTTGACGCAGTGATTGGGGAAGACGGCGACGGTGACTGGTTGCAGCATTAAGGCAGGGGGCAACTCGTAAGAACGTTGGAGTGATCTTTGTTGGATTCGGTTTTTGTTTTGTGTATCTCGAATGGGGGAGGGAGGGTACTTGTGCGTGTTTGTCGGTGAGCGTCAGAGATCTGTCGCAACCACAATGGTCCACGCACAGCGGTGTTGTACAGGACAGGGGGCTAGATGATGATGTCTAAAAGAATCGATGTCTCTAAATTTTGAGACACCTAGAATGTATGCATACGAAGTTTGAAATGTAAAAAAAATGATGCCTATTGTCACGACGCGGGCGAGTGGGGGAATGCTCTTCATGTATCGTAGTTGGATTGGGTACGCTTGGTGTCAATTTGATCTGGAATGCCGCCGGAGTCTCTGAGTGAATTAAAACCTGAACGACTTTCTGCGTTTTTTCAGCCAGCGAACGCCCCGGTGGTCAGGTTGGTGCCTTACTGGTCTTCCGACTCGTCCGAATCTCTGTGGTGCATAATGCAAATGTCGTTCCCACGACAAAGAGGAAGGGACCGAACTGCGTGCAGAAAATTCCCGGTTTACCAATTTTATTTACTCGAAGGAAGCGACGGAGAGGGAACTGATTCAACTATTGCAATGCAAAAGCTCCAGCGCTTGCCCTCTGCGTGTGCGGACTCGTCCGAATGTCTGTTGTGCATGAAGCAAACGTCGTTCTCACCACAGAAGGGGCGGAACTGCGTACAGAAAATTCCCGGGTTGCCAATATTATTTACTTCAAAGGAAGCGACGGAGAGGGAATTGATTCACCTATTGTATACAAAGCAAAAGCTCCAGCGCTTGCCCTCTGCGTGTGCGGCCCTGGCTGGTGCGTCCAACACACGGTCAGCGGTAGAAGACCGGTTGAGGGGTACAAACATGAGGGCGACGACCTTCTGCCTCGAGGGAATGGCAAGGCACGAACGCCTGACCAGGCACGCGACATGTACATACGTAACTGCTGCAAACAATCCACCCGTCCACCCTCCATGTCATCCCATACCAAAGCGGCAAACGGTTTCGTGGCAGCGAATTATTACCTCCGCAAGTTGGATCTTTAAATACGGTGTGCTATTGTTGATAACACCGACGATTGCACTTGGCAACAGGCAAAGCCAACCTTACAACCAATCCCTGTGTGCGGCTGGCGAGAAAACAAGTTCGCGCCAGATCATGGAACCGAACGACGTCGTTGGATCCAATCCCATCAAGTCGCGAGGTCAAACAATGATTGATTCCCGTTGGTACATTTTGGACCTCAGGGAGCGCAGAGCATCCACTTCATCATGACGATGATATGGTCTCCATCACCAAGTGTAACTGTCCGGTCGCAAAATCCGGAAACCATGTTGACATGCAAACGAAAAGAAGCGACCATGAAGCAGCAACAACGCCAAGAACCAAGAACAAAAAAAGAAACGAAATAGATACCGGGCCGGAATCACACGAGCACGCCATCACCTCGTCCTCCTCCTCGGTGTTGAAAGGAAGACATCGCCGAACCATAACTTCACGAAAGCTTCTTTGATGTACAGTACGGATCTCCGTTGCCCTTCCTAAAAGTAGTATCGTTCGAGAAACTGCACATACATGTCCACAGAGTAAATGCCCAAAGAAAATACAATCTTGGGGGGGAAGGGCACGGTCCCCACTGGGGATGAAAATAAAAACGAGAGAAAAACCAGGCTTTGGGTCGTTGGTGGGGACCACATCCTAGAAAATGTCCTCGACCTTGACGACCCAGTCAAGTTTCCCTCGTCGATAAATCTCGATCCCCTCCATCGTGACGCGCAGCTCGAATGAGGGGTCTTTCCTCCTCAAGAACCCGAACCAAGATGGCCGGGATTTGCGCTGCACAATTGTGCCGTCGATGGAAACCTCCTGCGCAGTTGAATATTGTTGAGGGGGGGGTAGTGTTTAGGGAGATGGTGTTCTGCAGATTTTTTGAGGGGGGAGATTTTTTGTGCCTGCCTACATGTAGGATTTCTGCAACCACTCCATTTTTTTTACTTCTACCTCCGATCAAGCGTTCCAGAATGCGAGGAGGACAATATCTATCTATAGTTGACCGGGGGGGGATACTTCAGGGTGCAGTTTGCAAAAAAAAAGACAACAGTTCCGCCCGTTTGAACCAAATCATAGACGTGGGGATCGATCCCAACCTACCACAAAACATCCTACCGGAATACCCTTGACACTCCACAGCTTAAATTCTCTTTCCTGCCCTCCAACGCACCAAGTTCCCTCTGTTGGTGAGCTTCAGCGTGGCCTCCATCAGGTGGGCCTCGGCGTGCTCGCGCTCTCGCCTCCGGCGGAAGCCGTTCTTGCCAAACGGCAGAACGCCCGTGATGGCGGCCATCTTTGACCTCTTGAGTTCGCCGCCCTCGCGGGCAGCCTTACCTCTCTCCAACCTCTGCGCCCAGATTTCGGAACGGTTCCTCTCGATCTTGGACATCTGCTGCTCGTTGGGGGTGATAACAGTCTTCAGTTTCTGCGGCACGGGGCCGATCTTTCGCCCTTCCTCGTCCCGGGTCGCCTTTCCGGCGGACGAGGCGTGAACGACGGAGCTGGAGTTGGGCGAGACGTAAATCATGGCCTTCTTGCCCGGGCTCATAAGTTTCCCGAACAGAAATCTTCCGGCCCGCAAGACGTTCTCGTCATGGAACTCGTCGGGCGGGGAGAACGAGTTGCCGTTGTCGTTGCCGTTGCTGTAGTGGTTGTTGTTGTTGTTGTTGTTGTTGTTGTTGTTGTTGTTGTTGTTGTTGTTGTTGCCGTTGCTGTAGTGGTTGTTGTTGTTGTTGTTGTTGTCGTTGTTGTTGTTGTTGTTGTTGCTGTTGTTGTTGTTGTTGTTGTTGTTGTTGTTGTTGTTGTTGTTGTTGTTGTTGTTGTTGTTGTTGTTGTTGTCGTTGTTGTGGCGCCGGTCCTCCTGCTGCTGCTCTTTGTGCTGGCGTGCCTTCTTCTTGGTGGTCCACGTGTTCGAAACGGGAATCGGCGAAGAACGCTCGCCCCCGCCACCGGCGCCGGCCTTCTTGCCGTGGTCGTTGACGGCGCGGGCTTCACGGGCCTTACTCGTCATGAACTCGGCCATCGACGCACCGGAAGCGGGGTTGTTGCCAACGTCCGCCCGAGTGCTCGGGTTGGCAGCAGTTCCTGTCCTAGGCGTTGCAGGTGCAGCGGTGGCAGTAGCAGGCGTAGATGAGGTCGGTGTGGCCTCAGATGCAGCGGCGGTCTTGTCGCCATCATCGTTGTCGTTGGGATCAGCAACAGTGGAGAACGCCGCGGCCCGGTTAGGGGCGGTGGTGGCGGAGGAGGAGGACTTGTTGTCGGCGACGTCTCCGACGGTAGCGGTCGGGGCGGTGTTGGTCGTCGACATGTCCTTGGCAACGGCGGTGGCGGAGTCGCGTTCCCTGTTGCTCTTGGCGTGGCGGTTGTCCAGCTTCCTGCGAAGCTCAGGGTCGGTAGGCATGCTCGTCGCCGTAAGGTCGGCCTCCTTCTGTTGTTGGTTGTTTTGATATGTGCGGTACGTTGGAGGGGGGTAGAGAGAGAACGAGGTACAGTAGTCAGCGACTTCGTCATGCGAACAGCCGTACAGGGGCAAATTTTCTGCAACATGTTCTTGTCGAGAGAGCTTGCGCGCCAGGAGGTGGTGGCTAGGGGCAGGTGATAATTTGCGTTTTGAATCTTTCGCTGCATCCTCCTGGACAAGATGTGCGTGGAACAAGTTACGGAGGAGTGCCGCTACTTGGGGGGAGCGACGTGTTCCGAAGACGGGCCCGAGCATTTCGCAAGCGCTACCACGGTCAAAGAAAAATCAACAATAGAAACAACCCTCCCTCGTGAACTACTGCACACTTGCAACACCGCCAGAGTTGATCATGACCTACCCGCCGCAAGGAGCTCGAGCCTGAGAAAGAGGTTACCCCCGAAACTCAACCAACATGTATGGATGTATCTCCCTCAGAATACGAAGATAACAACGCGTGTAGTACCTGGTCTGCGGCCGCAGGGTCGGCCACCACGACAGACGCGGCCGTGTACCTAATGGTGTTTCGCGATTCTAGGGACCCTTGGCCCTCGAAGGCCACAACCCCGTGCTTGTCCATCTGCGCATGTGCGACAACCAAACAGCAGCCGCAGAATCAGCAGCAGCAGAGGTCAGAGATATCGTTGTTGCTGCTGCTGCTGATGATGATGAAGACGACAAAAATGTACGTATCGTATGCATACCCTTTCTTGTCTCAAGTAAGGCAAAGATGATGCAAGAACGGTCACGCGCAGAGGTCACCTAAACAACTTATCTAGGCTATACGAAGTGTACCATCGAGTTGTTTCCAGGCGACGCGAGTGTCTCGATGACAACATGCCGCGCGACACGCGCAGAGAACAAAACACACACAGTGCCGGGACCAATTACACCGGGGCGAGTGGGACTACGTCTTGCCTCAGCATCGTCTTGGTTGGGCCAACTCAGTTTTTTCAGCAAGTGTTGGGACAGCATCGTGAGAGGAGGGGGGTACTCAAGGCAACCTACCGAACACATGGGCGCCGAAATCGTTGGCAGGTTGTGCAGTCATCGCCCTTTGTACTCACCAGCGTGCCATCGAGGTGCTCGGGGAGCCACCTGGTCACTTCGAATTGGATGCTTCCGAAGACCCGAAGGATGGGTTGGTTGTCCATCTTGAGTCGAACGGTGTTTGAAATGGGGCAACAGCGGCGCGCGCGCGCACGGGGGGGGGAGGTTGCCTTCATTGAAATTTACAGCTGAAAGGAACACCACGATGAAACAGCTACAGTACCGGAGGTATGGGAGAACCTTGAAACGTAGGCTGTAGACTACCTTAATCTACACCAGAAATGTTTGACAACAAAGTACACGATGGGATGGGTTTTCAGTAATATTGTAGAAGAAGTAGTTTCGACCTGTTAATATTGATGTGCACTTGCCTCCCTCCTCTTCATCATGACTGTCGGCGCGCGGATCGTCAACTTGGCCCCGGGGTGGACCTTCAGGGCAACGCCCATGGTGTTCATCGGGGCATGGGAGCGCACCACCGTGTCACCGGTAACGACGATCGTCTGTGTACGTACGTCAAACACAAAAAAATGACGGGTCCGAGTGAGACAAAATTGTTGGAACGTACAGAAGGAAGAGCGAGACCGTTTCGGCGAAAATGCAACGAGTAATACCCATGACAAGGATTATGATATACCGCGTTTTCCCCTCAGACTACATGTCATGTGTATACATTTTTTGGATTTTTGTTTTCGTCCTTTTATTTTGGCGACATGTATGATTTCGTGGTGGGACGTGTATTACGATTTTCAGTGTTGTAAGAGTACAACGCTTTTTAGTTGATTTTTCGTACAACTACAACCAACAATCCAGGGTCAGGGTAAACACAGGGCTTTTCCCTTCTTTTTATTTTAGTTTTCGTGCCCCACCTTCCTCCTGCGGTGCGTGCTGAATTTAAATATTTGGCCGTAGTCTATCTTCGCTATACATCATATATTCGATATAGATTTTGATCTTCCTTCATCAGCGTTTTTCATGCTGCCCATCTCGACCCCTAACTTTCGCGAGGCACCGGAGAGGGTCATCCTGCATTTCTTGCAAGCGAATAGGTATATATCCCATCCAAGCAGCTAGCTGAGAATGAATACGTTCGCGCGCGTTGAAGAAAACAAGATGATGAAATGAATGCATATATATATCCAACGGCCACAAAAAATGGGAAGTGCATACGGATGGATGATGTTGGCGGTGGAAAAACCTTGGCAAGGTGGACATATGTACTCACCTCTCATTCAACTGGAAGATAGGGAGGGATGGATCCATGACGGCAACATATGATAGGCTAGGATACCATCGTGGATCTCAACCACGCGGTATGATGGGAGTCAGCGGATGATGCGGAAGCGGGGTGCTCCTTGTACGCACCACATACGTGTGGTCTCATTTTTTCATTTTTCGAAACGATGTCGAAGTCAACCTGGCGATGAGTTTCGGAAAAAGAAGCTTGACTACATGCAGGTCCGGCCTGCACTCAGGCAGCAAGCACCGAGAAGGAGGATCTTGGTGGCGGGCGCTTCGCTTCGCAGCAGAGCCAGTGCCGGTGCCAATCTAGCAACTGGACCCCGGGATCGTACAGATAGGCCAACGACGCTCGCTTGTCAACGACGACCTGCCCACACACACCACTGTCTCCAAAATGCTCCCAAGTCTTGAGACCACTGCTGCTGCTCTACAGTAGCTGTTGTTGAGACTAACCTCGCCGAAGTTCCAAAGAACATGTCATCGAGGAGGATCAAAGAAGATCTCGTCTCTCACCTTCGGGTTGGCGCTACAGTCGATTGACGAGAGGATGGTGAGCGTGGTTCCGGCCAAGGTAGCCTTGGCGGGGATGTCGTCGCACGACCGGATCCACGTAGGTCCGTCGCCGAAGGGTCTAGCTTGGGTGCCCGGTATCGCGTAGGCGAGGAAGGCAAGAATGCCGTACAGCAGCACCTTGGGAAGATGCATACTTACCGCAGTGGGGTAGGTTCTGGCGCAGGAGAATATGTGGCCACTGTTTGGCTAGGGTCAGTCTCAAGAGCACAGCAGGTGTGCTCTGTAGGTGTGAGATGGATAGTGTTGATCTCATCTGGGGGGCAGAGGGCCGACCGCACCACAGGGATCGCCACCAGGGAAGAGCTAGAATTACGCGTCCCATCACGTCTGCTTTGATGTACATGCTCACCTGGTGAACAGGATCGGAGAGATTGTTGCCGTTCGTTCTTCCGTTCGTTCGATTGCTGCTGCTGCGGACCGATGCGGACCGCAACAAATATTCCGCCCAGAAATAATCCACATACACGTTGCAGTTCTTCACCGACAATTCTGATGCTGTTGGTGTTAGCAGCGCTTCTGGTGGAGGAGTGGCGACGTGCCTGGGTGAGTGCTATTCGGTTGCTGCACGCAATCGTTGTACATGGGTGACATCGGGGACCGCAATGATCGTCTATCTATCTGCAGATTAGTCCTTTCGTTCTCCACGCGCATCACATTCCAGAAAAATAAAGAGTGTACCGGAATCACCGTTACCTGCAGCCAAATACACATCAAAAGACAAGGAGCACCCAGTAGCCCAACGGATACACACACGTACAACGAACCCGCCCTACCGGTCTCCTGCCCAGGATCCTCGGTATGTTTCTTGCTGATCGAAAGCCGCCCCGGAACAGACAATACCCCGTCCTGCAGTTTCTACATCATGGAGCCTGGCATAGGATTCTCGAATTCTCTACGCTTCCTTTCGTTCCATGCGAAAGGATGATAACATTGACTGCGACGTTTATTCGGGAGAGGCGCGCGGGGGAACCGACGGTTTTTTATTTGAGGGGGGGGGGGGGACACGAAAAACGCAATTAATGCGTAGTCTAATGCGTGTATTTTATGTGTGGATCAAAATGGAGAATAAATATGCATACACGTGGGCAGTATGAATACAGCTGGCGTTTATTGGCGTGGTTCAGTGCTAATGGATATCAAACAGAAAGGCAGCTAACTGTACACGTACGTGGACGAGTGGACCAAGCTGGGGAGGGTAGTCCCTGATTCCTTTTCTTCGAAGACATCTATTTTATCGAGAAAAGCAAGGCTGACTGTGGGCAATTGGGGAGGTTGAACTGTGAGCGACTCGTGCTTGTCATGAATGGATGGGATGAAGGAGATACAACAATACTAAAAATAGTAGAGGACACGCCCGCGAGCTGTCCATGCTGTTAGCAGTCTCGACGAGGAGTGCTGCTACACGTCACCGTTGGGGGCATTCTGTCCAAAATAAATACCACAATATCATGCCGAACTTACTGGGAGCCAGGTCGACGCAGTCTTCAAAATATGTCGTCAATAGATCGATGTTCTGGACATTTGTCAATATTCATTTTCACTCCTCGATCGTCTGCATTGAATTTGTTCCCTCGTTCGACAAGTTTCCCGAAGGTTCTAGCCGACCGGGGGCGGGCGGGGATTGACACGAAAATTGGCGGTGCCCGTCAAACCACCGTCGTCGTGTGCGGTTTCACTGTCCTCGGCGAAGGCCAAATATCTCTTCATGCAGGTGGTGGTACTTTCCTGGCAAGCTTCACATTCATTCAGGTTTATTTCGTGGAAATTGTGGAAAGTTCATGGAGGACGGGCAACAACCTATCCCGTTGTTTAGTCTCAACTTACCATCAAACCCTGGCGTTTGCCATCTACCGCAATTTTCTTCGTGGAACTGGCGAAAAGAAAGAATATTTTATTTGCTATCGAAGTGCAGCTCGATACGTTCTTTTTCCCATTCAGACCCGAACTATCGCCTTCCAGCAGCATGAAGATGTACAAGATTTACGTCCCACAGTAGAAGTTAGTTCGTGTTTTTCTTCCACGGAGTTTGAATCGAAGCATTCCGTGGAAAATGAAAAATGTATATGGAAAAGTAAATTCTGTAGTTCTCCACGGAGGAAGAGTTTCCAATGGGTTTCGGCCTGAAAGCAGTACCGCGGAAGTCCTGGAAACGCGCTGTAGAGAATGAATTTCGCCCTTTCCATCGAAGGTGCGCTTGACTCATCTGGAAGTTTCGCTTGGTTTCCACGGAAGATGAACACATATAGGGTGTGCCCTCGTCGTCGCTTATTTCGACTCTGCCTGATATCACCCACCGGGCAATGCTTTCCGCCGATCAGGATTTTGCACCGATGTTGACCAAGAGGACCCTGCGCGCATTTGCCTACACGTTCCCTCCCTACCCAGGGTTCAATCGCTCCACCCACAACGGTGCTTGCTTAGGCTTGTGACGTGTTCATACTCCTACGCGGGAGCCCGGTCTCGTGGAAAACGCGCGATCCCGCCGCGCGTACTCTGGGGCCAGGCGGCATCACTATTCCGCTCAGGGTTCCCTACAACCGAATGGATTTGTCCGGGTATTTATGAGAGAATATCCCGATCGTTGCACTTTGCGCCCAGAGTAGAACTTGCGCCCCAAACATCCACAAAGCTTGGAGAGCTACCACCGAAGCAGCCGATGTCAGTGAAAAATGTAGGAGAACATCTGGCATCTGGCGCTGAAAGAGATTCATATTTGGTTCGGCAGACGGTTCACTCTCACATCCTAACACATTCTCGCCTCTATCCGAAGTCGTGGTTACACCGATCCCTTGTCCTCCGCCCCGCCATAGTCCTCCATCTCTTTCCAGCAGTACCAGACCTCTCTCAACGCCATACCCAGAAATTGTCCGCCTTCCCCTATCGTACCGTTCGAGGTGCAGGCGACACCCATCCCCACTCTACCGGCTCCAAGCTATCCAAGCTAAGGTCCGTCCAACATCTGCTTGGCTGCTCACAACGTCTGTGTTTGCAACCGCCGGGCGTTCCCTCGCCTTCCCCCACATCACACAAGTCTCGTCTCTACCCGAGCACCTGGCTGAATGGATCCCTTCTTCCCCACCCCAAGCCTAATTCATTCCAGCCCACCGGTTTGGCTTCAACCGACATCGCTCGTCGCCAAGCAAATACCTTCGCCCACGCTCCTCATGCCATGCCATCTTGCGCCCGGCTGGGCTCTTGCCTACACCGATCCCTTGCTATCCAACCCACGCTTCGCACGCAATCCTGACCTGCAACCGATATCGCTCTTCGCCACCAATCCGTGCCCCGAACCTTCTCCCGCCGCTCCATCTCGAGTGCAGCCGGATTCCTGGCTACGCCGGTTCTACACTCCCTTCTCCAGATATACAATCAACTCACGCCCAGCGACGCGAGGTACGCCTCCTTCTCCAACCGTTCTCTCGCAATGAATCCTGGCGTCCTACCGAGCGCCTCGCTACCCCGATTCCAAACCTTTCGATTCTTGCCTGATTTGCTCACTCCCACCTTCTCGCCGTCAAACCAAACCCCTCCCCGACCCTTCTCTCGCCATGCCATTCCGCGACCACCGGAGCTTCTGGCTAAACCGAAGGTTTGGTTCCCAATCCATGCCTCGTCCACCCACTCTTCCATCACCAAACAAAACCCACCCCCGGTCCTTCGCCCGCCATGCCATCTCGCGCCCAGCCGAGCTCCTGACTACGTCGATTCGTTGCCTCCAGACCCATGCCTTGTTCACTCACTCTACCTTCCGTGGTATCGTTCCTTCCCCCTTCTCTAAACCCAACCCGTTGCTCGACCATGCCATCTCACGTCCAGCCGAGCTCCGACTTACCCCAATAGCTTGCCCCGCAATCCTTCTTCACTCACACTCACTTGCTTCGCGTCCCTATACCTTCGCAACCTGATGCCTCACCCTTCTCCCGCCATTCCATCTCGCGTCCGGCCGAGCTTCGACCTACCTGGATTGCTTGTCCCCCAACCCACGCCTTGTCACACACTGACTCGCGTGGCGTCACTGCATTCGCCAACAACAGCCATTTCTCGAACCTTCTCCGGCCGCGACCTCTCTTATCCATGGCTCGACCGATTGCTGGCCGTCCAAGCCATGTAACGTGCACATTCTCTCATCTGAGCGGCATCCCTCCTCGCCGAGATATCTCCTTCCCCAATCATTTTCGTGCCACAAGATCTCGTGCCCCAATGAGGACCCGTTTAGACTGAGTGATTGCGTTCCACCTCATCCATTATTCGTTCGGTGTCGCCGATGAGGCACCCCTCCTCACCAACCAATCCCTTCTGTAGACCTACCAACTTGCGGCAGCGGAGCTGTTGGTTCCTGTGATTTCTTGCCTCCCAACACATGCCTTCTTTCACTCGCATTAATCTGGGTGACATTCCTTCTCACCAACCAGATAATTTTCTTCACCCCCCTCCGGCAGTGCCATCTCGCGTCCAGTCAGGCTCCTGGCTCAACCAGTTGAATGCCTTCCAACCCACCCCGACTCCGCATCTACTCAATTGCCATCTTACGACCCGCCGAGCTCCTAACCACACCGATTCCGCGTTGGCCAAGTCCAGTGTTGTATACTCCGTCTCACCCACGTCGATCGTTCTTTGCCAAACGAAGCCCGTCTGCAAACCGTCTCCCGCCATGGCTCCCGGCAACCATGGGCGAACCTCCTGGCTAGACAAAATGCTTTGCCAAGAATGAGTTCTCGTCTACTCGCCTCCGTGGGACGCCTTCGCTTCGCACCGATCGATCTCCTGACTACACCGATTCCTCGGCTCTCAACCTCGACATTATTCACCCAATCGCACCTGCATGACATTCACCCATCTTCACAGCAACCCCTTCGCGAACCATATTGCCTACCGGCCGAGCTCCTGGAAAAACAAACTTCCTTGGATCCCTACCCATGCCTTCTTCATTCACTCTCAGCTGCTTCGAATCCCTCCTTGCCAACCCAACCGAGCTCACGGCTACATGGAACATTTGCTTGTTATCCCCAGCCTTGCACCCCTCCTGTCACCCGCGTGGCGCCCCTCCTTGCCAACCAACAACCTTTGCGGACACTGCTCCCGTGTCATGTTCATGACTAGGCCGACTCCTTGCCTCCGAAACGATGCTTTGT